CCTCCCCCCCCCTTTTTTTCTCTCCCCTCTCTCTTTTTCTCTCCCCCCCCCCCCCCCCCAGTGAACTGGTGCTGGGTGATGGGAATGACGTTCGAAGGCCAACAAGCCCAGGAACGTTCACGCCCACCTTCAGCTAGCTGGCGGGGAGGTGGGGCATCCCAACACAGGCAGCTCTGCAGGAAAAGCAACTGAGACAAGACGACATAGGGTCGCATTGTGGCTCTGCATCATAATTGGCTTCAGGAGAAGGGGACGCTGACTCCCCCATTGTGAAGCACACAAATGAAAAAGTTCACTCAATCAATTCCAACTTCGCGAAATCTTTTTCTTTTGCAAAAAGTTGGAATTGATTGAGTGAAACGTGATAGAGAAACGCGATTGGAGCTGGGCTGGGGTGACTGTGCATTTGCCCACAGAGAGGGCTCTGGATGTCACGTCTGGCACACGTGCCATAGGTTCGCCATCACGGGTCTAGAAGAATCCCAGAGTGATTCTTCTAGACCCGAGAAGAATCACTCAGAGTTACAGGCCAAGAAAGAAAAGTTTGGCTAAACCTCTGCCACATATCAGTGCCCCTTCCCAGGCTTCTCAGCCCTCCCCCTTCCCTCTTTTGTCTGCCATTCCTTAGTTGCAGCCTTCCACTATGGCATGTTCCAGTGTTTTTCAACCTTAGCCACTTTAAGGGTCTGGACTTCAACTCCCAGAATTCCCCAGGTAGCCATTCTAGTTGTGGAATTTTGGGAGGAAGTCCAGAGCTCATAAATTAGCTAAGGTTTAAAAACACTGGCATATCCTATTGGCTAGCCTGGATCTTCTTGGCCACTCCCTCTCCTTCCCTCTGACTCCCATCAACTACCCCATTGCTAATGTCCATACAAGTGAAGATTATTCTTCATTCTTGGTTCCCCCCCACCATTGTTCCCCCCTCACCCCAAACAACTATGCTCTACTCAAAATCTGCAATAAAATAGCCTCACTTTGTGCTGTAGATGGACCTAAAATAAAAACAAAAAGAAAACATAAATAAAAAATAAACATAAAATTTAAAACATAATTACTTTGGTTTGTAAATGAACCACTCCACATCAACTGTTTCACAGGCAGAATGGTTTGCACATAGAACATTTTTCACACTTCTTATTTTAAATGTGCACTTAAAAGAAACCATTTAAAGGAAAATCAGGGGACAGTAAAGGCCTCAGAACTGAAAGCATTGACTCCATTAATTCAATGCAGTTTCTGCATGCAGAAAACTATGTTCTGGATAACAGCCTAAGAAACTGAGTGATTCAGCTTAGCTTTGTTCCCTAAGAACAGTCTAAGAGTAGGTGTAAATCAAATGGTGTTGGCATCACTTACATTACTTTTAGGCACTTTAACAAAATTATCAATTTAAATAGGAGACTATCAGCAATATGTCCATCTGTTACATGTAAACCATCAGTGCTTCAAAATGTAACATATACATTTTCATGCAATAACTTTGGACTGAGAGGCACAATTGGGATAAATACCATTGCACATTCTACTGTTATGAACTTAGTTTACTCCTCAATAAGGATCCTTATTACAAGCTCTCTGTTCCTCACTCTTAAACACATAGAATTGACCCTCAATCTTGCCTCTTCAGTTGCTTTCTACAGCCCACTAAATTTTAGATTGACCATCTTTCTTTTTGTCCAGTGCCTTGTTGCCCTCACCCAGCTATCTTTATCTCTCTTTCTTTGTCCTCATGCTGTCTTAATATTGAATTCTCTAGTAGAAGAATTTAGTTTTGGCCTTGAAAAGGAATGGGAAAGATGAAAACAGGAAGCACAATTTAATTTAATTTAATTTCCAATTTATATACCGCCCTTCTCCCTGAGGACTCAGGACGGTGTACAGCCAAGATAAAAAAACATAGAATACAAATATTAAAACATTTAAAAATATATATAAATTTTGGCCCGAAAGTTAAAAAACCACAGACTAATTAAAAGAATTTAAAAATTTCTTCTTAAGCCAACCTGGCTTGCTGAAAAAGATGGGTTTTCAGGGAACGACGGAAGGCATTGAGGTCATGGATTCTCCTTATCTCTGGGGGCAACTGATTCCAGAGGGTGGGAGCCCCCACAGAGAAGGCTCTCCCCCTGGGGGCCACCAGCCTACATTGTTTGGCTGATGGCACCCTGAGGAGGCCCTCTCTGTGGGAGCGCACGGGTCGATGGGAGGTCGTCGGTAGCAGGAGGCGGTCTCGCAGATAGCTAGGCCCTATGCCATGGAGCGCTTTAAAGGTGATAACCAACACCTTGAAGCGCACCTGGAAGACCACTGGGAGCCAGTGCAGCTCACGCAGGAGCGGTGTTACATGGGAGCGCCATGTTGCTCCCATCACTACCCGTGCTGCTGCATTCTGGACCAGCTGGAGCCTCCGGGTGCTCTTCAAGGGGAGCCCCATGTAGAGAGCATTGCAGTAGTCAAGGCGAGAGGTGACGAGGGCGTGAGTGACTGTGCACAAGGAATCCCGATCGAGAAAGGGCCGCAACTGACGAATCAGGTGAACCTGATAAAAGGTCCCCCTGGTAACAGCCGTCAGATGTTCCTCCAAAGACAGCTGCCTATCCAGGAGGACTCCCAGATTGCGAGCCTTTTCAGTGGGGGCCAAAGACTCACCCCCAATAGTCAGTGATGGAGTTAACTGACTATATCGGGATGCCGGGAGCCACAGCCACTCAGTCTTGGAAGGGTTGAGCTTGAGCCTATTCCTCCCCATCCAGATCCGCACAGCCTCCAGGCACTGGGACATCACTTCAAGGGCATCGTTGGGGTGGCCTGGGGTGGAGATGTACAGCTGGGTGTCATCAGCGTACTGATGGTATCTCACCCCAAAGCCATGGATGATCTCACCCAGCGGCTTCACATAAATGTTGAACAGAAGGGGCGAGAGGACTGATCCCTGTGGCACTCCACAGATGAGAGGCCTCAAGGTCGACCTCTGCCCCCCTGCCAACACAAACTGCGACCGGTCGGAGAGAAAGGAGGAGAACCACCGCAACACAGTGCCTCCCACCCCCAACTCTTCCAGCTGGTGCAGCATGATACCATGGTCGATGGTATCAAAAGCCGCTGAGAGATCTAATAGGACCAGAACAGAGGAATAACCCCTGTCCCGAGCCCTCCAGAGATCATCCACCAATGCGACCAATGCCGTTTCCGTGCTGTGCCCAGACCTGAAACCCGACTGGAACGGATCTAGATAGGATGTTTCCTCCAGGAATTGCGGAAACTGTTGCGCGACCACACTCTCAACAACCTTCGCAATGAAGCGAAGGTTGGAGACAGGACGATAGTTTGCCAATATTGCCGGATCCAGGGACGGCTTCTTGAGGAGAGGCCTCACCACCGCCTCTTTCAGGGCAGCAGGGAAGTGACCCTCACTCAACGAAGCATTAATGACGCCCTGGAGCCAGCCTCGTGTAACCTCCCGGGAAGCCAGTACCAACCAGGAGGGACACGGGTCCAGTAAACATGTGGCCGCACTAAGTCTCCCCAAAATCCTGTCCACATCATCGCAAGAAAAAGACTCAGAACAGCCTTGCCTTGACCTTCAGAAACTGTATTTATATGCAAGATATATATTCTGTGACTTTATTTACTTTACTGTTAAAGTTGATGGTGTAAGTTATGTTTCTGTTTTTTGATGTATAAAAAAGAGAATGCAAGATAAAAGAAAATTAATATTTCTGATAATCTTTTTAGGTGGCATTTTGTATGATCTAGGATCTTCGTTTTTGAGAATATTTTGCAGTAGCTTTAATAAATAGTACAGAATTGGTTTGCTATTTGTTAACCACTCAAAACGTGTTTCTATTAATTAGCTTTAAAATGTTATAAACAAACAAACAAATATGTGTTTTCCACTAAAGAACTTGGTCTTACCTACCAATGTTATTCTGGGATGTATTACAGAATACTATATAATTCCTAACTCTCAGACATGTACAAGTTTTGTTCTATTATTATATATATTGAACATTTGATTCATGATCTGATTTATTTTCAAGAATTCTGTTTTTCTTACCAAGAAGGTCTTATTACCTCCAAAAGTAAAATCTGAGTATCTAAAAAAGCTGATATTGTAAACTAATTATAGCTATTCATAGATCTTGTTTTAACACACTAGAATCAATCACACACCTTTTTCTTGGTCATTTGAAGTTCATTAAATATAACAATTTTAGGTAAAAAAGTAAGTTTGAGTTCAAATTTGAAAAACCAGAATGCCAGTGTCATCTTGAGTTTGCACATGAAATAAAGGCCAGAGAATTTGCGCCAAAGGTTTGGATTGGAATTTTGCATTACTGTAATATACATTTTAAATATGGGCTGTAAGAATCCATTTTTGGAGTAATTCCAATCTGTAGATACAACTACAAATGCCTATGCATGCAGTTTTTCTTTAATATTTTAGGGAACTACACTGGAGGCCTTTAAAAGAGGCTTTTAATATCTTCCTCTATTCGGTTTTCATTTTAATAGGCCAGTCTGGATGTTGTCATGGTAGCCATCTTGTAAACCGGCAGAGGGTGGTGCTGTATAAGTGTGCGTATGTGTGTCATTGTGGACACAAATGTGGGTATTTCTATTCTTTTTACCTTTATAGAATTCCATTCAGGTAGAATCCATTGGGGAAATACAAAAAACTAGAGCAGGCATTTTTCTAATGGAACAGGCCTAAAAGTATTGTGCTGTCCATTTTTAATCACCTACCTTGCATATTAATAAAAAAGACGATCAAAATTGGACTGAAGCCTTTGCAACCTGTCATTAATAAGCAAACTCTGTTCTTTTTTAGTGTAGAAAAATATTGATTTAGGTTTCAGAAATGTAGCTTAATTTGGTAAATTTATCTGTGCACTGTGTGATGGCCTTCCACAGTTGTCATCACCTTGTCAACGCATTATATTTAAAAATCAGAATCTATCTGAGGAGGGAAGATGACTTGGCATGGAGGGAAGGTCTGTGCAGCTCCAGCAATTGCTCTGGCCGGCTGGGTCTCTCTCTCCCTCTCTCCTCCTCCCCCCCATCCCTCCCTCTCTCTCTCCTCCTGCCTGAAGAAGGGAGCGAGGGCTGCGACTGGCGGAGGAGGCTTGCGAGAGGGTTAATGCTCTCCGCCAGGCAGGGAAGGTTAGCAGAGGGATCAATGTGATTAAGGCGGTAGGAGAGGAAAGATGCGCCTGCTGCCTGGCTGCGGTGGCTGAAGGGTGGTGCGCGGGGAGCCGCCTGCCTGCTTGCCGCAGAGAAAGGGCCGGATATGACCAGGAACGGTCCTCTGCCTTTGCTGGAGGGCGGCTTCACCTGTGGACCTGCTCCTGCCAACCTGCCAGCCTCTACCTGGGCCAGGAAGGAGGACCCACCTGAGGTGCCCGCGGCCGCCTCCCTTTCGCCCCGAGCTGCATCTCCGTGCCAGAGAAAGGCAGAGTCCGCGGCGAAGAGACGCTGAAGGCGAGGCGGGCAGCGCGTTGGCTGGAAGGGCACCGAGGCAGGAGCAGGGCTGGTCCCCTCTTGGCTGGCTGCGGGAGAGGAAGCGGGCGGCGAGCGGAGCCCAGACGTGGCTGGGAGGCGAGCAAGGCGCAGGGCATGTGGAGGCTGGCCGCCCTCTTGTTCCAGAGCATCTTGAATGGTGAGCCGGCGGGTCGGGCGGACTTCGGGGGCCGGTGGGCGAAGGGCGGGGAGTTGCGGAGAGACTGGCGCGTTGACCGAATCGCTTCTCGTTTCTCTTCAAGCCTTGTGACCAGCTCCGGGACGACGAAGACAAAAATTGCTCTCTAATAATCGAAATTAGCTTACTTAGCAAAGTGGCAGATTGCAAGCGGTATGCCGTGTCTCTGTCTCCTTTAGTACCGAAGTATGCTTGATGAAATGGAGAAGTCTGCGTCCTTTCCTGTTACCCTTGTAACAATACAGAATTATAACCTACAGTGTGTATATCTGCAGGAAGGACATTGGGCTTCTCAAAGGTTGAGAAAGAAAAAAGCCATTTATTTTTTAAAATTTTTCAGACCCTCATTACTTTTTATCCAATATTATAGTTTAGGAACTATGATATCAACCTGCCTCTCTTTCTCTCTCTTATGGCAATGGCAATGACATTTCTTATATACTCATCCCCTCATTTATGTAAAAAATATGCACTAATAATCGATACATCACCTGATAGGGGCTTGGGGGCTTTATCAACCAATTTTGAGAGTTATAGAAGTGAAAAGGTAAAACGTCACTTTAATATTTTTGTAAATGCAGTATTCCTTCTCAATGTTTTTCTCTTCAGAATTCATGCAATTTTTAAATGCCTAGTTAAAGGTACTTTTGTTAAATACCTTAATTCAATTAAATGGTGTATCATATTCCTTTTGAAGAAAAGAGATCCTAGTTTTTTAAACCTGATACTAAAGACAGCTTGGAGGTGAAATGGAGAACAATCCCAGCATGAATTTGCTGTTAAATGGCATTCTGGTTTTTCAAATTTGAAAGGACAGTTCTCTTCAAGGTGTCATTAATATGCTGACAATTAAAATAAAAATATATTTCTAATTTCCAAAATAGGAAAAGCAGGCAGAAACAGAATATTGGTAGTAAGGCTGAATGAGAATTGAAGCATGGGTGGGGGTGTGCAGGGAAAATGGAAAGATACAAATAATTGAAGCTCCAAGCAGAGGGCGAGAAGTGAATGTTGTATGAGGTGCTGAGGTTTGCTTAGCCATACTCTAGAAGAAAAAATATATTGCCAAAAAAAGCAAATTTAGCAATAAGGAATGAAATTAAGAAATACTTAGAATGCTTCCAGGTGTAGCTTCATAGTGTAAAATGATTAACTTTGGAAATTGTCATAGCCTAATTGCAACAAGTTTTATCATTTAAGGGTGATTTTTTTTTATTTTTTTTTTTGCTACCAGAAATAGTTCCCTGCGACCTCTGCAGGAAGACACCTTTTAGAATACAGATTTCCTGTCTTTTTGGGGGGGAGGGGTGGATAGGCCACGAAAGTCTATTTTTAGCTGACATTATTACCTTAAGCATAAATCAGCATTATCAGAGAATGTAAATAATTTGCTTTAAATTATATAACCAAATTAAAGAAGAAAAAACCACATCTAAAGCCCTAGCTTCATACAGTACATTCTTGTTATAAATGCCACAATGGAAGCCCACATCAGAGAAATAGTGACTTATTTGTGTGTGCATGGGAGGTTATAGTGGAAAGGTTTACGACTGCACTGACAGTTTTAGTCTTTATGCTTATAATCATTACCAATGCGAATATTCATTTCTTTACTCAGTAAACCAAAGCAGATGAGCTACTTAGCTTTTTAGTTCCTTGATGAATAAGCCATCATATTGGGAGATGTTATATGCACACATATGAATGTAAATAATGAAAAATTGGAACTGTAAATTTAATAGAAATTATGTCCTTCATTAATATCACCCTTTCCTTCATCAGAAAGTACTAAGTGTTTCTAATGTAATTCAATTTTTTTAACAACAGAAAGATTTGAGAGAATTTTTTTTTGCATTTTATTATATATAGGAAAAATAACAAATTGGTTGAGAGTAATACACAGACACACACACACACACACACACACGTGTGTGTGTATATATATGTTCCTTAAATGAAATATGAAATTTTATCCAGAGTTGTCACTTCTCTGTTATAAATGCTCAGTGACTGATGCTTTTAAAGCAGTTGAATAAATATGAAAAAATAAGAATAAATATGAATAAATCAGAAAAAAGATATTATTATTATTATTTGGTGGCTTTTTATCAAAATAGATTATTCTGCAATAATTGCATAACTGCCCAGTTGTTCTCTTAGAGGTTTTCTTTTGAAAAAGAATATGCTGTTACAAATATATTTGTTTCTGTTATTCTGTAGACAATGAGATAAAATAAGAATAGCATGTAAAATGACCATTTTATTTGTAATGATTTATATCTTATCTAAATTCATTTGTAAAATACATCAATGGTCCCGATTTAGAAACATAGTTGTGCTTTGGCCTAGTCTATAGATGAATCTGGTTATTGTATGAAATACAATGTATCAATTTTATTGATAATTCTTTTAATATTTTGAGCATAGTCGATAATTATTATTACAAGATTAGTTCCCTTTTAATTTTTAAAATGAATAAAATGGCATCAATTGTAAATGTGATTCTTCTGTTTTTGTCAGAAGAGAAGTATAAATTTTCAGACCAGTTATGTTAATTACTTCGATACTATCAAGAGTCATGTAGCTATTAGCCTGTCTAACTAACTATGACAAGTTCTTTGGTTCATTGTACTGAGGAATTTTTAATATGAGTATGATAAAAAAGAAATTTTGTGTAATTGTTATTTATATTGAACCTGCAATATATAGATAAAACATTAGATTTAAAATTGACCTTGAATTATTTAGTTTGTTTGAAATTTAACTTAGGACTTCTAGAGTTTTTTTTAAAAAACGTAAGTATTTTATATATAATTAATATGTATGCCAATTTGTTATTTTTTTTCTTTCTAGTGCTTGTGTTGCATAATATTTGTTGATACACACATAGTCAAAAAAGAATCAATAAAAATTAAGTTGCAACCAATAAACTAGAGGTAATGCTAAAAATAGACGCCTATTAAAAGATTTTTCTTGGAATGTATAATGCATGCACTTATCCATCTTTTACAAACTAGAGTGTTTATATTTTATTAATAGATTAAAACACTGGAATCATGGGAAAAGAATTAAACTGGAGAAGTAATGGTAGCACTATACATTTTATGAGGGCATAAAAGTCACACTTCATATATGGTTTTAAAAAATAAATATTAAAATTATCTATTTGTTTTGGTGAGATAGATGTTGAATTTAACTGTGCTTTGTTATCTTTCCTCTCAATATTGGAAACATGTTTAATAGAAGCATTATATATATATTATATATTTAATAGAAGCACGCACGCACATGCACACGCACACACACATATGATCTGAGAGATGACATGACACATAGGATTTGAATGTGCCTCTCATCTCTATTCATGTATGATTGCATACTGAACAGGGCTTCTGGACAGGGAGACCCCCTGGTTATATCATGGTGAGGCTCTAAAAAATGAAAACATTTAGATGCCTGTATTTTTAACAGAAGTTACAAATTACGTATTTTTAAAAGATTATAACTGTTTTTAATATGTATTAGTATTAGCAAAATTATAAATTAGTTAATTTATAATTTTATATGTAGTGTTAGCCATCCTGAATGCTACTTTTAACAAAGAGTTGAAATAACAACAATTAAAAGAAATTAACTTCTTGGCAAATAAAAAGGAAGCATTTGAAGATATCGCATCATCTCATAATGCATACATACATGTGTGCAGGACTGAATTAGAATTTGAATAGAGTTGGGGAATTAGTATACTGTACTAATTTTACTAGAAGCTTCACTTTACATAGGCATTAAGTATAATATGCAAGCTTGGTTATAGGAAAAATCATTTTAGAAAAAATCTATGTTGACCATATTTTCTTTCTGGCAATGACTGCTAACAAGGAAGAGAAATAATATTTGCATTGATTAGGAAGGCAGGTGCATTTCAGACAAATAATTCCTGTATGCATCTAATGGTAGCCTAATAGCAAGGTGTTTTAATATGCACCAGGTTTAGTCCTTTTGATGGATTTCCCCAGATACATCACAAGATTATGAGCCATTGTGCTGTCTACTTGCAAGCCTGTATTTTAGGACACTAGTGGGCAGCAAATCATGCAACACTGGGAACTTTTTATAGTATTAGAGAAATAGAGAGCAACTCTTCAGTGGATGGAATGCATTTTAATAGCTTTTCAGAATCCCTACTTCATCCTTTGGCATGCCAGACAACTGTCTGTCTGTCTGTCTGTCTGTCTGTCTGTCTTCTGTCTAGCTTGCTTGCTTGCTTGCTTGCTTGATTTTCTTTCTTTCTTTCTTTCTTTCTTTTTTTTTCTTTCTTTCTTTCTTTCTTTCTCTTCTCTCTCTCTCTCTCCTTCTCTCTCTCTCTCTCTCTCTCCTCCCTCCTCCCTCCCTCCCTCCCTCCCTCCTCTTCCCTGTTTGAATTGTAACTTCTATCGAAGAATTCAGGAGGTTTTGTGTCAAAATGTACTTTCTTTTTAAATGCAATGAAAACTAATTGTAACAGAGGATAGTGGAACAGATGAGAAGTGGGGATATAGAAGCTTAAAAGTTTTCCCAGTCTTCAGGATTTGTTCTTCAAATTTAGATTTTTTTTGTTACTGAAAGAGGACTGCAATTCAGAAAAGATAATCCATGCAAGAAATCTGCATGGCTTGAATTGGCTTGAAGCAGGAAAAAGAAAGCAGCCTTAGGAGAAAGCAACCTCATAGACTAGATTAGAGGAGTGTTTCTGGCAATTTGAGTGAGTAGGGAATAGTAATTGTTTAAACCACAATGATCTTGTAATATTCTGAATATTAGTAATGTTTGTTGTCTATATCCTCCAGTTTGAATGTGGAGATATATTAACACACACATTTGTGTTTATATGTATTATTTTCTGAAGGGAATAAATAAACAAACAGATAATAATGGCAGTAGCCTTTGTGCCATAAATGGCATTACCTGTCCCTTCTCTGGTT